ATAAAACAAGAAGAACGAGAAAAGAAACAAGAAGAGAGATTACAGCAGTTGTTAGAGGAAAAAGAAATAAAACAAGAAGAACGAGAAAAGAAACAAGAAGAGAGATTACAGCAGTTGTTAGAGGAAAAAGAAAAGAAACAAGAAGAACGAGAAAAGAAACAAGAAGAGAGATTACAGCAGTTGTTAGAGGAAAAAGAAAAGAAACAAGAAGAACGAGAAAAGAAACAAGAAGAGTGAGAAAAGAAACAAGAAGGGAGATTACAGCAGTTGTTGGAGGAGAAACAAAATAAACAAGAAGAGAAATTAGAGCAGTTGTTAGAGGAGAAAGAAAATAAACAAGAAGAACGAGAAAAGAAACAAGAAGAGAGACTACAGCAGTGGCAACTGAAACAACAAAGGAAACAAGAAGTACAAATGGAAATTATTAGTAAATTTAAAAGCGAATTAGATACGTTAAATGACGATCTATTGTCTTTTACACAAGGAGGATACACTAACCATCGACTTAACCAGCCCCAGACAATGGCAAGCCCCTTACAGAGCCCGCAGCTAAACCATAATGCAGACATATTCAGTCCCGTTAGAAGTCACATCCCAGATATGAATGTCAGTAATAGGAGTGATCCAGTGCGAAGGAAGCCACAGTAATTCGATTGGAAGGCACTGTGGGAAGCATATAGAGCACAAATTGAGCTACTGGCGGAGATGAACGGATGGACAGAGGAGCAGAAAGCTGTATATCTGGCAACGAGCTTGAAGGGACAACCACTGGAAATACTTGAACAGTTGACAGCAGCCGACAGACGCAACTATAGAGCACTGGTAGAGGCTCTGGAACTCAGATACAGAACCCAAAACCAGTCAGAAGTCTATAGGGCCAGGTTCAGGACGAGAGTCCATGCTAAAGGGGTGAGCCTGCAAGAGCTGGCACAGGACTTGGAAAGCATGGCACACAAGGCCTACCCAACTGCACCACCCGATCTCCTCAAGTTGTTGCTGAGGGATTAGTTCGTAGATGCCTTGGATAGTCCACAACTTAAGATACAAGTGAAGCAAGCACACCCCTCTACCATGCAGGATGCAATGGCCAGAGCTCTCGAATTTGAATCCTACGTAATTCCAGCACAGAGGTATCAAGGTTGGTACAGTCATCTGGATTCAAGGCCAGAAAAGGTCAGCTTTCAGAGAGGTTTGAGGGATTTTGTTGGCACTGTAATTAACCTGGGCACAAGAGAGCTCAATGCTGGAAACTTCAACACAGGGGAGGTGCCACAGCAGGTAAGGCTAATACCCAGAAAGGTTGTTGGAACTGTGGAAAGCAAGGACATCT